CAGGCTGAACAAATTAATCTGACATGGTTTGGTGAATTCTAATTTGATAAGAATTAATTATTTAGATGGGCAGGACGGAGGCTCAGAGTGACGCAACACCTGTGGATCAATGTGAATGAAGAGAGAGAAAGTAGGAGGGAAAAGCAGACGTGAAGACCCTCAAATAAGCGAATAAAGTCCGTTTTATGGGGAATGTTTGACTCCTATCTGAATACTCATACAGCCCACAATAAATCGAGCTACACATGGTCTCTTTCTGTTCTCATACAGGACGCAGTTGAGCAACCAGCTGCTCCTATCCTCCGGCCGAACATCCATGACAACACTACATTCCCGACACTTAACGCAAAGCACCTCACACGACCTCGTGCGCAACTCACCAAAGTTTGCTGATACTGAAGCGTCCGATCTTCGGCCTTATCCTTCACCATTGTCGCAGTACCCTCATTAAGACACCAAAACCAAGCCTGTCAGAAGTGCAGGTCGCCCGCGACTTAATCTGTGGATGCAGAGGAGGGGGAGTCGGAGGAAGAGGGAGAGGAATAGGAGGAGGGGGACTCGGCAGCGCGGAGAACGGCCATCACATGAGCAGAGAGTAACAGGTCTCTGATCAAAAGCCCTCGTGCATGCTGCAAAGCGCCACTGCTGCAACCGATATATGAATGAGTGTGTGTGTGTGTGTGTGTGTGTGTATGTGTGTGTGTGTGTGCCAGATGAGGGCTGTGTGAGCAGCGCCAGTGCGGTTTGACTGCAAAATACCGCCTCCCTCCTCCTCCTCCTCCTCCTCCACTCTCACCGTGCTGCCGTCTCTCTCTCTCTCTCTCTCTCTCTCTCTCTCTCTTTCTCTGTGTGGACTTAGTGGACTTGATGCTCGTATTATTGTGAGCTCTCGCGCGGAGGCATGTGCAGGTGCAGGGACTCTTTGGACGAACTGTCATGTGGAGGGTTTTTGTTTTTCTCTGCGTGGTCATTCTGAAGGACTCAGCTGTCCTTCGCTCAAGATCTGAGTCATCGCTGGCCTGATTGAGTGTGATGAGTAATTCACAGGGTGAGGCCAGTGCTCGGCAGATTTACTGCGCTGTCAATGTCAGAAAGTTATCAGCGATAGCCTTATATTAAACTATCGTTCTGACAGGGCTCAAGTGTGGAGCCAACAAGAAATAGGCTTCTGGATTGAAAATCATCACAAGTCATTGTCTCAGTTGCTTCAGCTGTAAAAACCAGTTTAGCTTATCTGTGTTTCTTTATCGACCTCTTTTATAGGTTGGTGTCTGATCTTGGCTCCTCTATGCCCCTCACTGCAGCATTTCACGAAGTACAAGCTGAATGGATAGCTGCAAGTCTGTACTTTATGGATTTGATTTTTGTTCATCTGAATAAAATGTCTTATTTTTCAACTTGTTGATCTTTCAGTAAGTTGATCTTAAAAAGGAACTCCAATATAATAGTTTTGTTAAAAGGTAGGCCTGTAGACCAAATGGATGTCACCGAACTAATAGAATCAAGGCAACATCAGAAGTTCTGACCAACTGGCTATCCACACACTGTATATTATTTTTTTTCTCAACAGAGAAGAGCAACAGGAAGATTCAGTTGTATTGCATTGTCATCATCCTGTGAGGGATTTCAAAGTGCCATCTTAATGCCCCGGTTAGAGTGCATATAGGAGCTATCATCTTTGGGAAGAACGATTGGTTTGTCCAAAGTGCCCTCTGAGTTTCAGCCTTGTATTAAGAGTTGCTTGAACTTCAAAAAAGTTTTGTCCGCGCTGCCTTTACTTTTTAAGTTGACTAAATTTGAGATAAGATGACATAAATGTGGTACTGGTACTCTTAATTTACTTAAAGTATTACAATTAATGTATTCATGGCAAGACATGGACCTTCTGTGAGATGACAGCAGTAACCACTGCTCTATGTAGCCACTTCCCAAAATGTCATTTTAATTATTATAGGCATATATTTTTTATCTGAAATGTGTTAAGCCCTTGTAACTCTAGTGCAGGGTATTATCCTCCCTCATTTTGGGATCTAACTAATCTGAGTAGAATCCACCTTACTGTGTCTTCAGATCTACTCCTTTGATAGCACCCTTCTCCAGATGGTTGGCTATGTCTTGTTCTTTTGTGAGTGCCTGAGCCTTTGCCTTTTACTTCAGTCAGAACTAAAGATTATGCCCTTAGGAAAGTGTACTCACTACCCAAAGGCCTGTAGTGCAGCTGTCTAGTGTCCTGAACTATCAGAGGCCACCGTCAGCCCTCTGAGTAAGCAACCAAGCTCTGTGTTGGAACTCTGATGTGTTAAACTGCTCAATGGGATGCAGAGTCTTCCTGTGGCAACACGGACACTGGCAGTCAAGGGTGACCAGTGCCATAACCCTGCTAGGATTGACACCACCCCCCCCCCCCCCCCACCCCCCAAGGCTGGCAAGGTGCTTATATGTCTAATTAACTAGTCTCATTAACCAGAATTTCATGCTCCAGGGCGCACCATGCAGCTGGGCTTATCATCTTCCCTGGAACTGCCAGAAGAGTGCAGAGGGCCTGAAAACCTGACTGAAACTGGGAACTGCACCAGTCATATACCTGTGAGTCAGGTTAAGCGTTAAATGTAAATGCCTACCCATTACATGGCTAATATATGGGAAAGATGGTTACAAGTGTCACAGTATCAGAGCACATGGGAGGTCAAATCATAGCAAGACTGTGGCCTTAAGAGTGCAAGCTTCAGGTCTCAAGGCCTCAGTGGGTGTAAAAACACACAATTGAGCTTTTTACTATAATAAATGGGACATAGGCCTACTAAATAAGCAGAGTTTCCAAACTGAAATCAAGTCACTCTTCATCCACATCCATTAATACTTTATGAAACTAGGGAGCTCCTGTTGCATGCTGTGTTGATTGAAAGCACTCACCAGAGAGTCAGTATAGCCAGTATGCCTGTCTCAATGTGCTGCATTAAACTAGGATACCTAAAAACTGTTTCCCTTATTGAATTCTGCAAGTCGCTACACGCAAAAAGGCTTAGCGTTGCATCAATTAACTTAGACATGGAGAAGTACTCACTTCACTTTTTACCTTTACAGTGAGTTGCTGTAAATGCTGGTCGCAACAATTGAATATGCTTAGCATCACAGCAGTACACCTGGAAGGAGACCTGGAAACGTGCTACCTATACTGACTTTAAGTGTTTGATTGCAGCCATTGGGAAGGGGAATCAAGTGTGTAGTTCCAATGCACCTGTATTTCAGTAAGAAAACTGCTATCTTTTTCCGAAACTTCAATTACTTAAGGTCACACGTGATGTCAAATAAAATACTCGATAGCACCTATCGAGCATCCTCTGACAGTCAAGAAGAATAACAGACATAAAAAGAATCTTTACAGAGGAGATTGCATCTGACACTGAAAGCTCACACATGAAGGATTTTTACATTCTCACATCCTTTCCTTCGATGACACATGTATTGCAATACTGTGAGCATCTCTCTCTGGGCTTTTACTAAAGCCTTTTTGGAGGTGATACTCACTGACAGCTAAATCTGTTGCACTGAAAGATGTGGTGCCAAATGAGACTCACACCTGAGAGATAACCACTGTTGCAAGGATTCACTGCTGCTTTTTCAGGAGCCAACTCCCTTCATGTTTCCAAGACTCCCATGGTTAGATGGGAAATTCAGGAAGTCCGAGAGAGTTTATAACCTTCTTAGATCTAATTTACTTAACTTACCAATCTCATTGTGTCAAAACCGTTCAACCAAAACAATGTATCCAGCTTTGAACTGATGGAATTACATTAAACAACTAATATGGTGACAAGCCAGCAAGCATTTGAATAGCCAACTCTCTGATGCTTTACAGGTTAAAAGACTTAATACCTCTGGGAGTCAAAGCCCTCTAACTGGCTGTCAGATAAAACAGTTCCTGCACGAACGTAGCCGATTGGCTGTTGGCAGGGAAACCAGTTCAAAGCAAAGTGTTGGACCACAGGCACCGGAATGAGGCAGGCCCTCTGAGACCACTGAGTGATGGGAGGGATTTCAATCAAAAGCACTCTCTCTCTCATAAACATAAAATGTTGTCATTCGAAAACCTAATTATTTATACAATACAGGTACATGTGCATTCACAGTCCTGCAATCTATTCCCATATTTCTCCTCCTCTTATAACTCATTTAAAAAACTGTCACCAGCTTCATCTTATTATGGAGCTTGCAGCAACAGACAGGCTATAGGCTGCTGTGGACCTGGAACTAGGTGCTCTGCAGCCCCAAGCCCCAGCACACTGACCCATATCTCTCAGTCTCCACAGCAGGAGTCTTTAGACATATATCACCCACCTCATGGAGGCTAGCTTGGTACAAAACTACAATGGGAGAAAAACATGTAGTCCTATATCCTGTCCTTTGTGACAATGAGGAGAAAAAACAACAATGCCCTGTTTTAAGAGACTTTTACATCCACATGTCTGGAAAGCATGGGGAAACGAGACTACAATATTAAATGGTTTTAAAGAATTTAGGGCTTGTAACAACTTAGTAAAGTTTTGAGCTAGATTTGTGTTCATCTTAATTAATTTAAAGTTATGTTTTAAAATCAAGGAGAGCAGAGGAGTAATCTCTGACATTTACTTACCTTTTTATTTACCGGCTTAAAAGTAAATAATTTGCACATATTTTACTGAATTATATCAACAGTTTTACAAGGCCTTTCATTCTTTAATGCACAACATTAGGGTATACAACCATTCATTTTGTTTCATGCTTTACAAGTTTCATAATTACCCATCTTTAGTATTAATAGATAAGAGAAAATAGGAAAGTGCTATGTGAAAGCACTAACCACACAAAAATACAAGAGAACACCTTACACAACTCAATCAGACCTTCAATTGCCATTTGCCCTTGAGCCTGTCTTGGTAAAGTTCAAGAGAATCATAGATTTGAAACCTTGGAGAGATAACAGAATAGTGATCCATCTTGTCAGGACGCAGCATACTTACGGTTTCCTCTGAGTGTGCTTTTCTCCTCTTCTTTTTGACCCTCCTCCCCGGGCTACGGATTCAAAAACGTCAGCTTTGTCCCTCCATGGCGCCTTGGCGGAACAATGAATGGGAGAAAGGGGCAAAGAGCTACAGGTTGCAGCGCAAGGCTTAATGGTGATGTCAGGACGACTCCCGGCGCAGAGGATGAATCCCGGTGATCTCACGTCCCTCTAATGAAGGGAAATCTTAATATATCCGGGTGACCGGCCTGTTGCTGATACGCAATCCACACAGCACTGCAACAAAGTTGTCGACACGGCGCGCAATTACTGGTTTTGCGCCTCGTTTGAGCAGCGCGCAGCGGAGCTGAATTCTGCTGGCTTGCTTTGGAGAACAAGAGCGACCGCAGCCGGCCGTCTGTGAGCGAGACTGCATTGGACTGTGGAGAAAAAATAACTCTATAATAAGATGCTACAGGCTCCTCGTCGGCTCCAGTGGAGGTGGGAGGGAGACAGCGGGGTACTGGGTGTCGTGTCCGTGATGCAATGCGGGTACCGTCAGTGCCATGGCCCACAGCTTTCTCCTTGTGTGCAGAAATCCAGGCGCTCCGGTCATTATCTGAGGAGCCGCGGCGCACATTCGTCTTAATTACCGGCACTGGGGATTGTCTGCAGAGATACGAGGGGGAGGCTTGGAGGGAGAGAAAGAAAACATGTGTTAAGTGTTCTTGCTCTATCTCTCTCTCTCTCTCTCTCTCTCTCTCTCTCTATGTCTGCGTGTCACATCTCTCTCTCCTTGAATGTGACAACAAACACACTCTTGGGATCTTATATTAGACGTCATGCGTCTTAATGAATGTGTACAGCTTTGGTGCGAGGGCAAGGGGCTCGGTCAATGGGGTAACACGTGATTCTAAAATCAGAATGAATGGTGCATTTCCCGTATTTTCCCTCGTCCTTGTCTTTGACAGCTATTATAGCCTACCCTCTCGCCTTCCAAGAAGCAATTGAATCAGAGAATCACCGCGTCTTCCAGCTGCGTCCCGTAGGCATTACAACCCGATGGATGATTGCATGTATCGGACTGAACACCGCTTGTTCACTTCTCCTCCCGGGTGATGAGTGCACAGAGAATGGATGTTAAACTATACGAATCACGTAAACACAACGTGTTGTCATAGAATAAACAGCCAAGGTTTTACAACTTAAAAACTTTGCCACAAGTTGTCCTTCTTTACAAGCTTTTATGAAAATAAAAGTGAAACAAAATTGGTTTACTGACACACTGAGAACATTGGTAAGATTGTGGGTGTCTGAAATCCTAACAAAATACAAATTTTCCAACTTAATGTGGGTGAACAATATTAGACACAACAAACAGCCATGTAGCTTACACATCCCTGTAGCAGTGTTTGTGTTTTTGCAGCTCCTTCTGACATCAATTCTGTGAAATATATTAACCTATGCTGCTGCCTTTATTGGACAGTGAAAGCTTAGTAAATACCCTCCTACAGGAGTGACTGGATTTGATCAGCTGTGTAAAGTGAGTCTTTCACAATAATTAATCATTAACTTTATAGTCAGCAAGCACGACACCTGAACCCTCTCCAAGCGAATATCAATGAAATGCCATTTTCCGTCCATTACTTTTTGTTATTCTGTTCAGCAGGAAAGTTGGAGCGCTTCCTGCTCTCAGGCTAGATAACACTCTCGCACTTCCCACTCCTGAATGAGAAGGTGGGAAATTAAATACTTGAGAAGACAAAAAGGACACACAGCTCCCCCACAGTGGACACAGGGCATTTTCCACCTGGCAGCGTTTTCTTAATGGAACAAATGTGGACTTATTAGGAGCAGCCAAGCAGGGCATGGCGTTAAGCAGTGAGTAGTGAAACTAAAAACTTTGACTTATGAGGTTTTTAATTCACTAGTTCTTAGTTGATCATTTCAATGCTAGGCTTAATATGTAAAAAGCCAAACAAACTCTGCTTCAGTGCTTGTTGATGTGTTTGTTTAGGACTTCTGCTGCTCTGTTTGGTAGCCTCTGAGGTGTGGGATGCCGAGACCAAACCCACAGAATTTGTGTGTAATAAAGTCGCCAGGAGGGCTTTAAACATTGTGGCAGAGCTGGAAAGTGCCCTGGTGAGGATGTGTAGTTGTCTCACTTCTGCTAAAAGACAAACATTTTCTGTAATTCTCACCTGCTGAATCCAATCATCTGTAGTCTGCCGTCGGTCTGCTTATCTTTAAACCACCTTCTTGTCATGCGTCTCTTCTGTCTCCTCCCTTGCAGACTAATTGTAGCGGCTTGTCGACCCTCTCCACACCAGTTCAGCTCCCATGTATTGAGCTCCATGTAGCATCTTGGGAAAACAAATCAGTATGTCGGCACATGTATGAGTTTTTCTTGTTGTCGAATATTCTCTCAAAACAAAATATCACTGCTGATCTTTCTGTTTACCTGAACCATCTTTTGTGTTACCACAGAACCAGGAGAAGAGAGGAGATGTAGTTGCGTCCTTGAGGCTTCTTACTGGAGGTGTGGAGGTTTTGAAGGCTCTGAACCAGTCGAGATGTGCCGTTTCACAACTGCAGAGGCTGGAGAAGAACATTAACAACTACCTGCTCATTCTTAGAAACCTTCAGCTGAGTGTAAGACAACCTTGTGAACATTTATAATGCAAACATGCACAAAATAAATCCCGGCAAGCACTGATTTTGGTGATTTGATGGTATGAATAAGTTTACATTTTTAAATAAAATCCAGTGTTTTACTTTCACTTCTGGAAGCCTTTTGACCTGGAAATCAACAAATCAAAGTTAACTGGGCACAATCTGTCATCATCGCCCACACAGAAAAGACATTACAACAAACCTAGCCAAGATAAATTCATCAGTTTGTTGCTGAATATTCACACAAACCAAGTGAAAACGTGTTGATGGGCTTCTCTCTCACTGGTTTCATCTGATTAGGAGGCATTATCAGTTCACTCTGGTGTGGAAATATCCTGCTTTCTCATAAATCTGTGAGTTTCTGGACTATCTGTGCCCTGGGGGTGATGATGTTATGTTGTGTGACCTCAAACCTTCCTTCCTCAGGACAGGAAGAAGATAGCGGTGCATACTTTCCAAGTGAAAGAGAGTACAAGAGGAATGTTCTGTGTCACTGTAAAAGTTCATCGTGGATTTCTTTTTTTAAGATTTTTTTTTTTTTTACCTGTATGTCCACCTGTAAAGGCTACATTTGAACTTATGTTGGTTGTTATGTCACACACATGTTTTGGTTTAATTTGCAGCCTCGTTTTTTTAATCAATTATCTTCATTTTTCTTGCTCTGCATTGTTAAAACACTCTTCATTGTTGTATGTTCTGTTGTGACCACCAGGGGCCATTGGTGAGTCCGGCATTGTCCTGTGTTCCTCAAAGCACCTACAGTCTCAGCACATTCCTGCTGAACTACAATCAACTGATAACAGGCAAACTGGAACGTTTCATGAATGCCCTGGAAGATAGATGCACTTCTTCGTGACACAAAATGAACTTCAGTGGACCTTCAAAAACTGGGAATGGGCTCAACTAGGGACAAAGGTCGAAAAAAAAGAAGAATGAAGATGTATCAGGGAATAACAGTCACAGGGATCTGGATTGATCATTGCCATTCTGAAATGTCTAATTTATGAAAAGTGTTATCTTATATTGTTGTGTTTTTCTTTTGGTAAACTTTCTTAGAGTAAGATGCAAACATATTTAATTCCCTGCTGGTTGAATTCACTACTTCTGGAAAAGCAGAGGAAAGCAAACTACATCAAGTCTGCATCAATGCTTAGCAAGAGCGTTTTTTTTGTGTAACTTTCATATCAATTTATTAGAAAAAAAAAACCCACAGCGTTTCAGTCCCTCTTAACCTTTCTCAAGCGTGTTATCAAACCAGGAAAAAGTATTTGATCGATTATGTCATCACATGTTCTACCTCTAATGTCATTTACAGGATCAAATATCCTTGTGGATTATCCTATGTTTGTTAAATATCACGTCTACGACAGCAAAGAATGAGTGTGGGATTACCCTGTAGCAGTTTATTTCAATGACTTTGACATCTCATCATTCAGGTTCCAGGGCAAGACAACACTGCCTGAGAGAGGTGGTAATATTGACCACATTCTCAACAGAAGGGAAGTGTACTGGGTTTCTAACTGTATCCCTCAAAGGTTTAAATGATGAGATCCCATGGGATGTTAGACTCTAAGGAGTTCAGTTCTTTGTAAGACACAGTGATGGTACAAACGAGATAATGATTGTTTTTTTTTATGATTTATAAAAAGTGTAAGGCCCTTGTTTTTATTCATTAGATATGGTATTTCTGTAAATAGTCCTGTAAATAGGTCATGTTTTTTGTGGTAGAGTCTCATTGTTTCATTTAACTGTATTTTCTCTCCTCCAGTGCCTGTTAATTTGTATTTAGATTTTTTTTTTACCTTTATATATGTGGATATTGTGTTGACTGACTCTACACATGTTGCTGCTGATGATTGAGAGAGACTTCTAATTATACTTAATGTCCCACACCTGTGCACACACATAGCAGGCAGAGCACTGAGTACTTAAGATCATGATGGGGAAATAGTTTGAGAACACACTTGACAAAGGTTCAGAGGGACTGAAATGTTTTTCCAATAAATTTGTGATGCCAAGCAAGAGAAGTGCGGGCATTTTTTCTTTTAAATGTGATAGTTTTATGTCCTGTGTATACTTCATGAGATAGTTGGATGTCTGAACCTCATTTAAAACATCCAACTTTACTGCCAGACTTGTTTTGTCTCGCGGCACAACCATTCAAAGTGAATGTAGACCCCCAGCAAATATCCATTCTGATAAATATCTTGGTTTTACCTTTATAAAGGGTATTAGGCAAATACAGATCCGTCCTTGCACATTAGTTGAATTTAAAGAACAATAATAGAAAATAAGAATATTACAAAATAGTGAGTTGTACTATATTTTTTAGGGTTAAAAGTTTAAAACGTTAGTGCATTTCTTTTTTTAGCTAGCATTTGGCCAAGTAGGTACCAACACTTTGTGGTCAGGTTAAGAGAAGCTTGAAAGCCTCAGATGGTGGTCGTCATCATTGAAATGCTGTTTGGAATGTACTTTTGGTCAACCTGGTAACAGGCATAGTGGTGGAGCTGAGATGGGCCTTTTGCCTCCTGGCAAAGAGCTACAACTGGCCTGCTTGCAGTCAGATCAGTCACGCCCTTAATATGCAGAACTCTTATCCTTCATCTAATCAAAACAGATGACTCATGAGGTTTTTAGACCAAAGTCGTTTTAGTACCAGGTTGTAAACATGCTGTCGAAATGGGCATTTTAACATAGGTGTGTAAGGACTTCCGGGGTTTTTGGAGCCAGTCTCAAGTGGGGACTCAAGGAACTCTTTCCACTTAAGCATTGCTTTCCTTTTTCATCACAGGATATTGCAGCTTGAGTTATAACATTAACACCATAAACTGTATAAAACATGGACTAAGTCAGTCTCGTCACCCAATGGTAACTGAAGGGAAGCTTTAAAGTCCAATAATGGCAGGCGGCATATTGAAAATGCTGTCTCAACCTAGCTTTCGGTCAGCCTAGTTCAGGCAAAGAAGTGGAGCTCAGTTGGGCCTTAAGCCTCCTCATAAACAGTCAAAACCATTGACTGCACATTAAGATGAATAAAGCAGCAGCCGCCTGAGAGAAGCCAAAAGATTAAGAGCTCCCCCTAGTGACTGGCTGTAGTGTAAGTAATACACCCCATCCTCTATGTTAAAGGATAAAACATTGAAAAAAAAAACTATGAAACCCAGTTTCGTCGTGATAGTTATTATAACGCCATTACACATATTTTTCTGAGAGGTTTCTTCAATTAATCAGTTATTTGATGCTATAAAACTGTATAAAAT